GTCTAAAAGTCATGGATTTTTCACTCAAATCAAACGCGAAAGAAAATTGAGAAAAAATATTTTGGGAAAAAAGTGTTTTTCGCATTTGATTTAAGTGAAAAAGCATGGATATATATATTCATGATTTTTTAACATGAAATATTGATAGGAAAAATGTGTATGTTTTCCACACGTTTGATTTAAGTGAAAAGGCATGGATCCATGATATACAAATTACAGCATTTTCAAACAATTAACACTTTCGGGTCATATACAATACTTTCGACAATCTATACCATTTTTGGAATCCAAATTATTTTATTCAATTTTTTTACTTTTTGCAAAAACTGATTAGAAAAAACAAATTATATATTGTTAATTTTTAAATAATCACTCACTGAAAATTGAATTACTATTGGTAATAGTTTGGAGCCTTATACATGTATAGTTTAATGTATATTGAATTTCTGAAAAAGAATACATATGTTTAGATTTGTTTTGTGAAATGAAATACTTGAAACAACAATTTTAAAAAATAATACAAGTAAGAAAATACATAAAACTGAAAACAATTGAATTCCAATTGATCGAAAAACAATTGATTAATATACACACAGGATTAATATACCACTTTTTCATTGATGAATGTACATAAACTTTTGCACTTTGTACAAATATTACAAGCAAATTTGAGCATATAAATCATTTGAAATAAAGAAAAATTTTAAAAATATTCATCATAATTATAATCATAAAATGTTAATCGTAAATTTATAAAATTGTAATCTTTCTTCAAATAACTTTGTTTGTATCTCATTTACAATTGTTAAATTCCATAGGATCTACATACAGCTTGCTAGTGATAACAAATTGCAATGCGATAGAACAAAACAAAATTGAATACTTGCAAATTATAGAACATCATTTTGAGAACACAATTACATCACATCATATTTATAAAACATCTGCAAAGCACATTAAAATATTCAACACATTCACGCCGTGTTCAGTTTTAACTCATGTTTTTTTATTATATAAAAATATACATGAGTAAATAAATATATACAATAAAAAATAAATATATACATGAGTTTTAACTCATGTTTTTTTATATATATATATAAAAACATGAGTTAAAACTGAACACGGCGTGAATGTGTTGAATATTTTAATGTCAGTATAAAATACACAAATAACTAAAACAAGTCTTTGAACATTCTCACTCTCCTTTCCCTCTTCTCAAAGAAACAACGGGTCTTTGTTTGCTCCAACTCCCTTTGTACATCATTATAATATTCATGCTCAGATGTTTAATATTATTCATCCTTTCTTGCAGTTTGTTGCCTCTACAAGCTGTCGACAGATTGTTTCAAATCAACTTTATCAAACCTATGTTTGTTTGCCTAAACAAACTAGGTAGAGAAAACATTGGCAATGGGGCCTGCGTGAAACTGTGAGAGATCCAAAAGTCCTGGAGGTATTCCAATAATTAGAGGTGGTTCAATGTAATTGAATTGGAAATCTGAATAGGCACGTCACTCTGGACTCTCAGAATCTTCTATAATGGACAAAATTTATTTGTAATCATTATTTTTAAAATGTGATACCACTAGCAACATTAATTAAATAATCAGCTATGGTTATAAATGGTTATTGTAAAGTTATATATTATTCAAAGCACATCAACGTCAATTATCATTGACAATTAATAGAAACTGTGTGATGCTTCAGAATGCAATATTTGATATTCAGTTCTTCAAAGTACTTGATGTTTCAAAGAATAAATTTTCATTATGAAAATGAGTGTAAACCTGATTCAATAAAGAATTTATGTTGAATTACTTATAGTAAACAGTTCAACTAAATTATCTACATTCACTTGAATTGCTGTCTGTACCATTTACAATTTGTTTTTGTGTCCTGCATAACTATACCAATTCATATATTTGATATTTTCTTAGGTTATTGTAAGCAAACAGTCTTTTGCACAAACTTGGTTTTGTAAAATAAACTATAAGAATTTTTTAGTATTTTCAAACTTGATTTATTTAAAGAATATTGGTAATTTTATATGATTAAAAATGATGTTTTATAAACTAGAGAATTTTTTTAATTTATTGAAAAATATAACGAGAATCGTAATTTGAGTATTTAGGTTTTTATTTGAATAAAATGAATCTCACATGCAACAAAACTTACTGAAAGTTGTGACCTTCTAGTTAAATTGTTTATGTTCCTTGAATAAGAATATACATTTGTATATCTAATTACCATTATTGTTATGAATTTATATTTACAGTGAAAGAACTGTCAAACGTTTGACGTATAGGACGGTGGCGGCATCTAACACAGAACCATATGAACCCGGTAGTCACTACGTAGTTCCTCACGAATTGGGAACAATTTTGCATAGAGGCGCTGCATGCAATCTCCTTAAAAACATAGGAATCTTAGTGGATTCATATTGGATTCCTTATACGCAATTATATTTATATGAAGTCGCTGCGTAGTTCCTCACGAATTGGGAACGATTTTGCATAGAGGCGTTGCATGCAATCGCCTTAGAATCATAGGAATATTAGTGGATTCCTTTATACGCAATATATATATATATATATATATATACTCGTATATATATATATATATATATATATAATTATGGACCCGGTTTTGATGAAATATCAATATATAAATTTGTATATCGCTTTATACTATATATGTCTCTCTCTTATTGTGATTTGAAAAAAGCATGAATAGAAGAGTCCATGGATTTTTAAAATTCAAATTAAAATTCACAAATCGATTAAAATATATATTATATTTACAAACGTACCTCTGTTTATAATTAATGCAGTAGATTGCATTTACTGTGGAATTGTAAGATGTCTATTAATCAAATATTATAATTTTCAATAAAAAATTGAATTCCTGAAATAAAAGTTTAAATATTAACTGAAAAGAACAGTTTGTTCACATATAATATTGATATTAATTTTGATAATACAAACTCAACTTAAACTTGATAATACAATATATATATATATATATATATATATATATATAACTAGTATAGTATATAATATATAACTTTAAAATATATAATTTGTTCTATTTGTAATAAACAACGACAGAGATATAATTTCTTATAATTATATGACAGTCGATTTTATTAACTATATTGTTTTTGTTTTTTTAATAATATTGTAAATTGTTTATTAAATGCATAATTTATACTTGTTTATTTATGACACAATATTTTATACTTATGACTTGTAAAATAGTATTTTGAATACATTTTTCATGGATTTGATAATTATGTTTTTTAATAAAATAAATATTTATCTTCATAAGTACAAAAAACAAACTAGTAACATTAACACAGTATCTAACAAAAATAAGTAAAAATTTGTAACTAATATTATATAGACTCATTTGTTTCTTTAACTCTCTCAAAAACCAAGCTTATTATTAAACACACACACATATTCCAAGTTAAAATTTTAGAAATAATTAAGTTACAATTAAAATTGTATGCACATTTCAATTGTCAGAACATGGCACTATTATTATATTATTATTAGCCATTTAAAACTCAATAAGGCACTTGTATTTATATGGAACACCATTAGTTGTATATATATGCTTGTTGTAAACAGTTTAAACATTTCGTAAAAAATCTTCACAAGAAATACTCGACTTGAATGAATAAAAAGTATTGACTTTATTTAAACATATTTAAACAGCAGCATATACAACCAAAAGTAGTTTTTAAATAATTACACTGTCGACTCACTTCTTACAAAGGTACAAAGGCAATTTGCTAAATCATTACAATATTCATGCTCAGATATTTAATCTTGCTTATTCAATATGTTGACTGATTGGTTCAAATCGATTTTATCAATAGGTGTTTTTGTAAACAATCAAGGTGCGTGTGGAGGGTGTGGAGTCTGTGTGAAACTGTAGAGTGCCAAATTAGAGGCAATCGTAAAGCCTGGGTTGGTGTTGGTCGACTGTAAGGTACTGATCTCAAGACATACACAAGATGGTCTAGTGTAGACTGGAAAAATCTGGGTAGGTCATCATTCTGGATTCTTGAAATCTCCTAAATGTAAATAATATTATTGTAGTATTAATAGCAATATTATATTTGGAAAGAACAAGTTCTAAGTATAATTATTAAAATAAGTATGTATTATCTTTGTATATGAAATGCAGCAATCAACAATTAATCAAATTATATTAAATAAAACTGCAATAATGATTTACTTCTATATAAAGTGTACATAAATGTTTCAAAAAGATGCTGGAACAGCTCTTGTAGTTTAATGTGCTTCCTACAATTGGTAGAAATTTGAGATATTTCAGATGCAAAACATCATTACAAAATCTTACGTTTGTTGCTACATTCATGACTTGTAGTGTGTATTTCTATTACACCATTTTTAAGTGAATTTCCACCCAAGTATGAGTAAGTATTTTTTTCTCGGGTTCACACAGACTATCAAAAATACTATAAAAATAAATCTTAGTGAATATACTTTTACAGTCAACATCATTATCAGCGGCTTCTCCTAAAAATTTATATAAGAATTCACATATGTTGAAACATATAACTTGTCTCGATTAAAAGAGTTCTTTTTTTTAAAACCTTTTCATTTATTTTATTTCAATTAAATATTTATTTTAATTTAATAGTTTTTTAAAATTCGTGCTTTGAAATCTGTATAGTAATTGGTGCATTAAAAAACTAAAAATTTTCAAACATTTTGCAGAGCATCGAATTTAGAAGTAATACCATGAGTTAATTTAAATAAGATGCTTGTGCTGTCATCTATTTTTAAAAATTTGTATTTCAATCAAGGTAACGTAAAATCGCTAGACATAGCGATCTATTTATACTTGTTTTCGTTTATCTATGGGCGTCGTTTCTTTCTGAGATTTTTTTTTAAATGTTGGTAAATAGGTTAGGTGTTTTGTTTCTGCCGAATTAGCAGATTTTAGATTCGTGCCAGAATGTCCCTTGCGTAAACACAATACACTGGTAACATCTTTGGATTCTGGGAATTTCTATTTTTATCATTTGACGTATACCTGTCATTTGGCATATTTCGTTGGTTAGGTGCGGTTACGAAATGTATTTTTTAATTCGTCGCACAAATTATATAATATGTTTAAGTTAATAGAGAAATTTGTCATTGAAATTTCTGTTTATTCACAAAAGTGATAATATAAGTCTGAGTCATAAATAAATTTAAAAAATCCACCATCATGATGGCATGCTCCAGAGCCGTGACCCACAAACAATTTATCAGAATATTGCATTTACAAAATTCTATACAAATTGTTCCTATAAGAATGAAAATGAGGTGGAGAAGAGGGATATCCCTGCCTAGTGGGGCACTACTGCCAGAACCTAAAAAAGTGCCATTTGGTTTATTAGGAATAATATGTGTAGTAGTGCCTGGCCTATTCATTGGTGCTGCTATAAGTAAATATATGGCAAATTTTCTTGAAGAAAATGAACTATTTGTCCCATCAGATGATGATGATGATGATGATTGAACCATTTGGAGCACCAGGTATTTGAGGAATGAGAAACACTTGCACACGGAAGGCATTTTTTGTATTATCTACTATAGAGAAAATTTATTTCAGTCACTAAAATGTTCAAATATTTATTAAAGTTATTTATTAAATAGTTTGTCATATACAAATATATTATGTGATATTCCAAGCTAAATTATAAACCTGAATTGGCACTTGTTTTGTGTAAAAGCATTTTTTATAAAGCAGTTATAAATCTTTAAATATAAATAAAATTTTTAAAACTGTACATCTTGACTAGTATCAGGAAGTATTATGAAATGATCTTATCTGTATATTTTGTTGGATACACTCAATTCTTAATTCAACTAGTCATTATAGTAATAACAATAGAATAAATAACATCTTAAAGACTATGTCTACAATATATAGGTACGTACTTTGAATCAAAGTTATTTAAGTTAATCAATCATATATAAGAATATATAGCTGTGAGTTTACTCTGGCGGTCTCTTGTGTTCACCCCAGCCATGAAAACATTTGGTAAACCGTTTGCTTTCTTTATTCTTTAATGTTAAAAATAACTTTCTTGGCTTCTCAGGTTGTTTTACTCTCAAATGTTGTATGTAAACCTATAGAAATTGTGACAATTATATTTAATTATTATTTGTGTTTTGTATAAATAAATCAAATGTTTCAAAAACCATAACTAATATTATAAAAAAGTAATGAAATATATCGAAAGTATAACATATTTGATCACATAATAACATAATGAAATGAATTAACTTCTGAAATGAAGTAAGTTTTTAAGTAAATCTTGGACTTGAACATAATAAATTTTAGCTTGTAGCTATCGTAATTTAGATTCCCTATACTTATTATGCTTGACTTAAATGGTTTTTGAAATGTATCATTTACTTATATAAGAAATTTGTATGTACCTGTGCAGACTTATATGCCAGTTTTATCTCAACTTCACTGCACTTTGCACCAAGCCATAAAAATACTTGCTCTCCATTATCCAAAATCATAATATCATCGTCAGCCAAATCATCCTATAAGATATAGATATTTATATAGCAAATTTGTTTCTATTATGTTAAATGTAAAATTCATGCAAAATTACCTGACAAAAATCAGAACATTTCTCTGAGACTGTAAAATATCCCTTTTCATTAGAACATCTGAAAAGTCTTGTATATTGCATGAATTCAGCATCCTGATCATAAGGCTTCTGCCCACCTAAAGCAACCCAGAAAAAGTTATCTGGTTCCTCTCCTTCATTGAGCACCTATAAATAAGATTAAAATTTGTACCAAAAATGTTATATAAGATAAATATTTATTAAATTATAAACTTTTATGCCAAATTATTATAAAAATTTAAAATTTTTAATAAATCTTGTTGATGCTTTGAAATATTAGATTTAGAATTACCTGTAAACTGACCCAAGGACTATTAAATAAAGACTCGGCTATTTCCTCTGCTAGCCTTGCCTCAGCAGGATCACTTTTAGAACCAATCCAGACATAAACTATACCTGATTCATCGTCAGTATCAAATGGTACATTCAATATATAACTAAAACATATCCAAATAAGCGTTATTAAAAAATATTTATGACCAATAAATGTAAAAAAAAGTAGATTACCAGAAAGCAGAATTTAATAGTGATGCATCAACTTTGATCTGTATGAGTCTCGTGCACAGTGAACTGCCATTTGATCGTAAATGATAAAATTCTACAACTGCTTTTTCAGACTTTGCATTTGTGTTTCCATTGGGTATTGAAGAAACTGCCAATGATTTTCGTCTTCCTTGTTTTATAACAAACTTTCCCTAGAATAAGAAAACATGGATGAGTTGCTTGTGTATTCAACTTCTGAAATTCAATTTGATTCAAAAATGATACCTTATAATCAATAATATATGCAATTAAGCTAAACAAAACACCAAATATCTTAGGTTTACCTTAAAATGTGCCATAAATTTAAGATTTTCCTGTTGTTGGTGTGTTCGAACTACTTCAAGTTGATCACCAAAAAGTGATTTAAATTTCTTTTGTAACCTATAAATCAATATTTAAAATTATTCTAGTAAAGTTCTTTAAATTCTTTAACATAAAAATTCTTTTGGCTTACGTGAATGTGAATGTTAGCCAACCCATGTTTCCAGCATCTCGACCTTGCCAAAAGTAAACAACGCAATGAATACACTGTGGATCATCTTCCTCATCTTGGGAACCTTCTGGAAGGTCTTCTGGCGGTTCCCAGTATCGGCATAAAAAGACATAACAATCGCCGCTATAAAAAATGCCTAAAAAATGATATCAAAATATTTGAATGAAATTATTTAAATTAAAATTTGTAATAAGTAGAGATATATCATACCATGCTCTTCTTCTGGCAATCGCACAAACTTTTTTCCTTCAAGCACAAAAGCTTCCATTGCTTCTAAATCTTCATTCCAGTCCTCTGCTAATTGTTTTGCTTCCTAAAATTGAACAAATTGCACCCATACATATTTCATTAAATAAAAATCTTGTTATATATTTAATATCTTTGGCAAAATGAGCAAAAAATATAATTTTACCGTAGATGACATTATTGGTTGACGTGCAGTAAATAGTGCTCCTAAGTCAGCGCGCGCTTCTTGATTTTTAGCCCATTGTATTAAATTAGCACCTGTACGAGCCACACTTTCAGCAGTTCTTGTGAAGTCTACTGCTATGACTTCATCCCATCCCGTAAATTTAGATTTAAATATCTAAAATAGTGATATTAATGAATATAACGATATAAAACCATGTTATTAATATTAAATTAATGAAATAAACTTGTTAACAAAATTACCTGATTTTCTGTACCTTCTTGCACCCTTGTAACCAGTGCATATGGCGGTCTATCTATCATATTAAATAATTCCTGTGACAATTTTAATGCTGCGGCTCTAACTAATCTAGTTGATTTTTTTCCAAACCTTATAGATATTTATATGTGTTAAATAAAATTAAACTGATTCAAAATTGTAATAATTTCAGTATACTAACCAAACAAATAAGTCTAGGTGGCAATCTAAAATGTAAACATTTTTACTATTAAGTACAGTATGTTCTAATTTATTTTGAGATATTTCGACTTGTGGTAATTCCAGATATCCCATTCCCAATTGTACTTGATAAAGTCTTGGAGGAATAGGTACAAATCCTTCAGGCACATGTTCCTTATAAAAACCGTTGAATTAGCACTAACATAATTAAAAAAATACTTCAATAATTTCAAATAAAACTCACAGTAGGAATATAAGGGCGTTCATCTAAATTCAAAACATCCCAAAATTCAGTACTTTCATCTCCTTGAATTTCTGTTATAATTTCAGCCTTATTCTTTCTTTCATTCTTATTAATTTTTTCGGCCATCAACCGGGCCTTAGATTTTAATGTGCTTTTAGATTTTTTTCCATACCACATGAATATTTTAGTTCCTATGTCTAATACGAACACGTATCTTGGATCTAAAGATTCAGATTTTACAGGCTGAGCTTCAAGATGCACAGATGATCCAGCGGCATGCACTCGATATAGTCTAACAACATAGGTCTGAAAATGATAAACTAGATACACTAAATCTGTAAATAACTATGTGTAAATGGAATTTGCCTTAAAAGGGTATTCTAGTCTAGAGGCATGAAATTTTATGTAATTTTCGAAATACCGTAAAAAATTATTTTTAATTGAACTAGTGGGGTGCATGACATCGTGTCTTAAGGCAAATTGCTGGAACTTCCCGTACCGTAATTAAAAATCTTGGTACCAAACCCAAAAAAAATTACACAAAATGTGTACACATTATTAAAATCTCTAAAAAATATCTGATAATTTGATGTACATATGTCCAATAAACATTTTTGATCGCAAAATGACGTTTTTTTAACTTCCCGTAGGGTAAGTTATTGTAATCGTCCAAAAATCGAAAATGAAAATTTTTACATTTCTTAACGTTTTGAAGGTTTCTGAACATTTTGGCATACCTCAGAAAAAATGGATGTGTGTGTGTGTGTATGTATGTATGGATACAATTTTTCGTCCACGGGCGCACGGATCAACCGATTTGAATGGTTCAAAAAACATTCGATTCCTATTTATAGGGAGATGTGCTGATTAGTTTTTGACAAAGGCAGGTCCAGCAGTTACGGAGATAAAGAGCAAAGAGTGCAGAAAATAGAAATCGAGTTTTTGAGAGAACAAAGCATCCGATTTGAATGATCTAAAAAACATTCAATTAGTAATGATTGGGAGAAGTGGTTATTAGTTTTTGGCAAAGGCAGGCCCAGCCATTTCGAAGATACAGAGCTAAATGTGCAAAAAATGGCAGTTATTGAGAGAACTAAGCGTCCGATTTAAATGATTCAAAGAACTTTCTGCTAGTTTAAACAAAATAATTGATCTTGGACAAAAAAAAATTTTCAAATTTTTTTTTTTAATTTTTTTTTAATTTTTTTAAAAAAAATTTTTTTGTATATCAAAAATAATTCAGATTTTATTTTTAATTCTGACTATATTTCTAATATACTTTAAACAAATAATTTCAACTTTTGAATTCAGTTTATATAATTCTTATAAATATTAGACAATGTTCCAGTGTTTATAATAATCTATTTGAAAACATTTGAACATTCAGTTACGGTACGGAAAGTTCCAGCAACTTGCCTTAAGGCACGATGGCATACATCCCACAAGTTAACTTATTTTTATTGAGGGTCTATAACCGCTGGACCTGCCATCCCAAAAATTTAAGCAGTTTTTCATCTTGTTAATACAAATAAAATGTTTTTTGAATTATTAAAATCGGACGCCCCGTTCTCTCAAAAACCGAGTTACGTTTGTGGCACTTTTTGCCCCGTATCTTCGAAACGGCTAGACCTGCCTATGCCAAAAACTAATCAGCACATCTCCTTATCAACAGCAATCGTATGTTTTTTGAATAATTGAAATCGGTTGAACCGTTTCCCGAATCGTCGACGAAAATTTGTATCCGCACACACCATACATACACATACATCCATTTTTTCTAAGGTATGCCAAAATGTTCAGAAACCTCTGAAAAGTAAAAATATATAAAAATTCTCATTTTCGTTTTTTTGCCATTACTATAACTTGCCCTACGGGAAGTTAATTAATACTAATTATTAAATTATTTTGCTGAATGATGAAACACACCTGGTCTCAAAATGTATGAAACGAATATTTCTTTTCATTTCGAAGTAGTGGCTGTTTTACTCATATCAGTATGTTACAATGTCAAAAAAAACCACAACATATTATATATATATATATATATATATATATATATATATATATATATATATATGTAAATATTAATATCACTAACCATATCTTCTATTGTATAGAAGCCACTGCTAGTACGTCCGCCTTCTATATATGTGATGTCACTATCGAATAATGCCAAAAAGGCATCAGACTCATCTCCTTGCTCTTCTCTAATTGTTCTACATAGAGCTCCCAAATAATTGCGCAAATTCACTGCATGAATCGCAGCACATGCACATTTATCCAACTATAAAATTATTTATTTAAGTTATCACAGCGATAAAAACATACAGAATATATAAAATAATCTTATAATTTATTACCGTAGCTTTTGCACCAATCCAAAAATATATTTCCCAAGACATTTGGCCTAAGTCATCAATAGCAGTTTTTAGAACTATGTAACAATCACCTTCATAAAACTTTCCATGTGCAACTTCATCAATTCTATTTGGTAAAAAATTCTCTATTTCCCAAATAGATAATCCTGGTATTTGGCCAGCTTCGTCGTCAAAAAATTCAGAATAATCTAACGGTGGTTTTTCTAAACTTTCATCCCATCTCTTTGGTCTACAATTAAGAAACCATTACTGAGGTGTATGGCACATACACATTTGATACATTCACGACTGAAAACTTACTTTAAAGACTCTACTTTATAATCTTCACATGTATTATTTTTATCTAATGCAACATCTTTCATTCCCTTAAGGATTTTAGCTTGGTCTTGATCTGCTTCAGTTGATTCATCTGTTCTTTTTCCGCGTCGTAATCTTAATTTTCTAGCTATGGGATCTCGGTTTGTACCTAAATTAATAAATATTTCTTTACAAGATTTATGTGTGATGAAGAATATAACATTTCAAGCCTCTGCATGAAAGACAGACTTTATTAACAAGCATTGAAGAAGCAGTTTTATCATATTTAATTATATCATAATTATATATCAACATATATACACACAAACACACACTCACACACACACACACACAAATATATATATATATATATATATATATATATATATATAATTTTATTTAAAACATTCAAAATATATAAATTATTTAATTATTTTACAAAAAGCAACATCTATGAATTAAAAATTATTGAGTTGGGGTATATTGATTAGCCTATTAAATATTAGATTGAATATATTCCACTTACTATTTTGTGTAACAGGCGTCGGAACATAAGCACCTGCAAGCCTTAATTGATGCTGAAGTGAAAAATCTATATTATAAAATTCAACACCTGAACCTCTTTGAGGATCAAGTGGCTTTGGAGGCATGTGTAAATCTGGATTATTTCTCAAATCAAGTGAATGCAGATCAGTTAAAAGATGTATCGTTTCAGGTAAAGTAATTAGGCAATTACTGCTCAAGTTCAAAGTTTTCAGGGATCCACATCTACAAAAAAAATTTTTATTTAAATGAAAATTTGTCAATATAATTGATATTTGTTTGTATGATATAAAACCTGCACAATCCTTCAGGTATCATTTCCAATTTATTATTTGACGCAGAAAACACTTCTAGTGAACCTAATTTACCAATACCTGATGGAATTCCTTCAAAATCTAATTCATTATCATTGACATATAATCTTCTTAAAAAATTCAATTTGCATAAAGAACTTGGCAAAGCTTTAATTTTATTTCTAGATAAATTAAGGGTTTCAAGCTTTTGCCAAAATTCTATTGAATTAGAAACTTCACTAATTTCATTTTCTGATAAATTTATTCTTTTTAAATTAATCAATGAATATAAAGCATCAGGAATTTTTGGTAAAGAATTTTGTGCCAGATCCAACTCAGACAGATTTGATAAAGAATCTAATTGTGATGGAAAATTATTAAGATTTCTTTGCGTGTTTCTCATGTGCAGTATTTCTAAGCTTTGGAGTGATGGTAGTTGCCTGGAATTAATCAAACAAACAAATGATTCATCAACGTAAGATTTAATGAATCTATATATTCTACAATAATAAACCTATAGTTTGTGGCAATAAAACTATTATAAAAATCATTTCTTAATTAAATTACTTTTATACTTTAATTAAACTACTTTTGCTATATTTCCCAATTAAAGTTTTTTTTTCATGAAGGACACTGATACACTGATGATAATTTTAACTTCTTGCTATAGACAAGCCTTGAGAATTAATCAAAAAGTGAAAAAAAAAATTCAATTACCTTAACTGAAATAGCCCCAAAGGATTATGACTAAGAATTAATGTTTGCAAATTAACCAAACGTCTTGTTTGTGGAGGTAGTGTTTCTAAGAGATTATGAGATAAATCCAAAAATAACAAATCTGTCAGATTGATAAATAATGGTGTAGGAATACTGTCAATTCTGAAAATATAAAATTCATTAGTAAAGATAAATGTTTAGGGAAGTATATATATATATATATAATAGGGTGGTACTTAATATAGACATTTTCGAAATTTATTGCTCCCAGGGGCTTGAATGCTTCCAAATTGATAAAAAAATCTCTAAAAGTTTTAGCTCTTAATATTAACTTTTAGATAGTGAACAATTCAATCAAAGCTTCTTATGGAAAAAGCATGAAAAAAAATTTGAAAATGTTTTTTACAAATGAATGACAAATGAATTGAAAGTGAGCGTCAAATTATTGAAAATTCGACGCTCTACAAAATATATTTTTTATAATATGTTTTGTAGAGCATTGAATTTTGAATAAAACTTATTCATCTTTGAAAATTTTTCCATGCTATTTCCATACAAAACTTTGATTGAATTGCGCACTATCTAAAAGTTAATATTAAGAGCTAAAACTTATAGAGAATTTTTTTTTTATCAATTTGGGAGCATTTGAGCCTTTGCGAGCAAGGAAAATCAAAAATGTCCATATTAAGTATATATTAAGCACTCATTCAGATACTCACTGATTATGGCTTAAATTTAAAACTAATAGTCCTTTTGCTTTGTCTAAACCTTCTGGTATTTCTTTTAATTTATTAAAAGATAAATCTAATGTACTCAATTCATCTAATCGAAACAAATCAACAGGTATACCAGAACTTTTGATATTATTATGACCTATATTTAAACTTCTTAAGCATCTCAATTCTGTTAATTCACCATATAGTTTTTCTAAACAATTTCTTTTCAAGGATAAATGTTCCTGTAAAGGTAAAAAGAATTACATACAACTATTAGCAATTGTTTAATATTATAAACTCACTAATTTTATAAGTTTTCCCATTTCTTCAGGAATTTCTGACAAATTGGTTTTGTCTAATTTTAACCATTGCACTCCAGTCATTAGCTTCATTGCTTGGGGAAATTTACCATCCTATTCAACAAAACAAAATCATAAACAAATAATTAGAATACAATTGAAACTAAAAACCTAGATATAGTTTTTAGGTTATATCAAATGTAACACGTAAAAGAAAATCATTTTGGTGACTCGCAAACATTATTTAAATATCCACTCACACTAAAATCATTATTGGTGAAATCAACGCCCCTAACAAAAGGTAGTACACCCGTATTCGCCATGTTTATTAAATTTTTGAATTTTTTGTTACATTTTCTTCTAATTAAAGTTTCTTAAAAGATGACAGATTGCGAAGTGCAATGGCTGACATTACAATAATGACACAAGTGAAGTCGGCCACACGTACGGTGCGAAGTTATTGGCGATACCACACCTTTCCATCGCAGTTGTTAAAAGAATTTGGAATCTATAATAACAATAAAGAATTAATAATAAAATATTTGCATAACTATTATAGACAATAGGATTTTATAATTCAAAACAAAATAAAACTGTTTATATTCTAGAATAGATCAAGTTTTTGAAATTTAATACCAGTTAAACAATTCATATGAAATAGATAATATTATTAGTAGTAAAAGAAGAAACTTGGCATTTAAAAAATAATTAGATAAATGAAAACAAAAAACTTTTTATACTAGATATTCGTTATATTACTATAAATGGTTTATTCAAATTAAGCGCCATAACACTGTGTCCATAACATTTGAGGCTTAACTATAGTGGTGTATTGCATCGTGCTTTAAGCCAAATTGCTGGAACTTCCCGTACCCTAACGACATGTTCGAGGAATATTAAGTGTTTTCAAACTGATAATTATAAATACTGTAACATTGTCTAATATTTATAAACTGAATTACAAATTTAAAATTATTTGTTTAAAGTATATAAGTAAGTTTTAGAACTTTAGCCAGAATTAAAATTAAAATCTAAATTATCTTTGATATACAAATTATTTTTTTGAAAAAAATTGAGATAAATGTTTTTTTACAAAAGTAATTGTTTTGTCAACACAAGCAGAAAGTTTATTGAATTATTCAAATCGGATGCTTAGTTCTCTCAAAAACTGCCATTTTTTGTACATTTAGTTCTGTATCTTCGAAATGACCGAACATGCCTTTGCCAAAGAGTAATCACCACTTCTCCCAATCATTACAAATTGAATTTTTTTTAATCATTTAAATCGGATTCTGCGTTCTCTCAAAAACTCGATTTCTATTTTCTGCACTCTTTGCTCCGTATCTCCGTAACGGCTGTACCTGCCTTTGCCAATGGAAATATATATGGAAAAATTATATGATTTGCACATGCATCCTGTGCTCACTTAAACTAAACAATGATCATAATATATTTAACGAATTTTTAACAGTATTTACAAATTACATTCAAATCACCCAAAACAAGTGGGTTAAAGTCGTGTAATTTTTTAATTTGCCTCCCCCCTTTAAATTTAAAAATGGATTTTTCTGTGGGGGATGCGCCCACCTTGGGAATTACCAGTCTAGGAGTACAATTTTTTAATCTACTACCAGGTTAAAATAATTGAGTGATCATCAATTCCACAGCACATTCATCGGATTTTTAAAAGATCAAAGTTTCTATGAATATGCATACAAATCTCAAATTGTAGGCCGAAATTGAGACAATAAATTGAATTGAAATATCAGGGTAACTCTTTATATTATATTACGGATTATAGAAAAATTCCAAATTCTGTATGTATTAGTCTGTATATTTATAAATTGCCGTCCCTTCCAGACAGCGGTATAATAATTTTTATATTATATTTTTAAATTTAGAATTTTTAGAATTCAGTAAGTTGCGAGACCAAGAACATTTTGAGAAATACAGCTCGCACAAGTTACTCAAACATTTAATAAAATTTATAGTTTTAGGTCTATTGTCGCACAGTGCACACAATCGTTTAAAAGTGCAGTAATTAATTTTCTATGAAGTGATAACGGCAAATAAAATAGATAAAATTCTTATAGAAAAATAACATTTATAAATTAAATCTTATATACATTCGCATTTCTTATACGCTAACACCTAAATCATAGGTTCGTATTCGTGTATTTTTATAGCCCCTTACGTATGACTATACGTTGCATTCTATACTACACGCCTTACATCTATACCATACGCTATATTTCATCATATACTCTCAAATCCCTACATTGCATACCGAATACACCTAACCTATATCTACTATATATATTCTATTACCTATAATTTGCCTTACACTCTACATTAACCCTACCGAGATTCGAACCCGGGTCCGCCGCGTGGCACGCGACGACCTTAACCACTACACCACTGTAACGCTACAATCAACCGTCTTTTTTCGCGTGTCGTCGCGCCACCTTAGTATTAATTATCTAATTAATTAGAAAATGACCCGCGGAAACAACAGTGCGTCCCATATTATATTATTAATAGGGCTACCGGATAGGGTAGTGGCTAAGGTGCGCGACCGCCACGCGGAAGTCCCGGGTTCAATTCCCGGTATAGGCAATAGATAGGTAGAGATTATACATAGGGCGTAAGGTAAACCTATATAATATGAATTAAAGGTATGTAGGTTATAATAAGTTAATGGCGGTATAGGTATCTCACGGTAGATAATAGATATCTATA